AGGATGTACTCCAAAAACGTTGAATATCTGTTTGATACATGCAATGATGTATTGATTAAGATTAATGACTTTGTGATTGGTGAAAAAAGTAAGTCACATAAGGGAAAACGAGTTTACCATAATATGCTATTACTGTACCACACAGGTTTGAACTTGATGCTTTTGATCTGGAAATTCTTGCAATAAGAAGGTACTTATCAGAAAAATTGCAAAAAAAAGTGCTCAAGATTTGCGAAAAAAATATTGATCGGCAACTTCATTGTAGCAATTATCATGAACAAAACAAAAGAACTTTTAATATAGTATTAACTGAAAAGGGCAATACAATACTACATTTGGTGATGGTAAATGTTCGGCAAATAATCTATTCTAATTGCACTATACAAACTAATGACTTTGCATCTTGACTCGAACATTAAACATGATTGTTCAACAATGACTACAATTATAAGATTAAACAAAATTGTTCAACAATGGCTACAATTATAGGGAAATGGTGCGGCAAATGCATTGGTAAATAGCAACAAAAGCATTGTTCAAAACTGGCCGCGACATAGACAAAAAAATTGTTCGGCTTGGTTCACCGACATCTTCTTATAACCTACAAATCAAATAGGACTATAACAATACAACAACGAAGAAATTCAAACCAATTAAAAATGCATAGACAAATGAATACATTATCAACATCAAAAGTTTAATAATAGGCATGTATATAATATATGTTGAGTTGAGTTAGTAAAGAGAAATCCAGTCAATTGGTGGGGCTGGTTTGTTTGATTAATAAATGGGAGTGTTTTTGTTTTGAATGAATTGTAATGGTAATGTTTGACTAGGGTTTTGGATGGAATTATATATATTGTGGATTGCATTATTACTCAATTTATGCTTGAGAGGGGTGACTGGATTATGTGTGTTTATGGGGTACATTGTTGGCCAAATAGAGGTTGGAATATAGGCTGTATAAATGGATAGATATAGTAATTGGGCTTTGAAGTTTATTTTGGATTTATTAAGAGTTGGTGGGCTAGCTTAAAAAGGGTTGTATAGATTTAGAGCACATTGACTCATGGTGTTGTTAGTGTGATAAAAATTGGAGTATGGATGGCCTATAAAAAGAGATGGGCTCAGTCGAACACAAGAATTGTGAGTAATGGATAAATTGGGCTGAGTAATTGGATCTTAATAATTGGTGGTGGGTTGGCTTACTATTAACAGGACAGAAGTTATCTTGTTTTGGGTTTAGTATTGTCATATTGTCATTTTTGCGAACATTGAAGTACAAGTAGGGGGTTAATTGTAAGGTTTGAAGCCTTTAAGACTAAACTAACCGAAGGACAACTATGGGTTGTAAATGGATTTTACATGCTGTGATATTTCTAGAATGTGTTCGAGTGTTGTTCTCATATTTATATGCCTTGGCATATGGACGTGTATGAAGTGTGATGTGTTGAATATGCAGGTGAGTGTGTAAGGATGTGTTTGGCTAGGAGTGAAAGGCTATGTTGTGTTTGGATCTAAGATCACCCTTCTATAGTACCTTTCCATCTTTAGACATCAGTTAGTCTGTATTTTGTTTTTTTAGCCTCCTGCGAGTGTTGAGATAGTTCGTACTACCACATGGTGGTAGCTTCCCATTAGGATAGTACAGACGCCTAAGGAGCTCCAGGCGAGATATTATGAGATACCATATCATGACGCGCCGATGATAGACTATGGGTCAAGTATGGTTATCCAGTGATGAGTATACCATCCCGAGGATAGACTGTAGATGGTACCACCTCGAGGATAGATCTTGGGTGGGATATTGATACATGATGCCCCGATGATAGACTGTGGGCGAGATTATTCTGTATGATACCATATCATGACACCTTGAGGAGAGACTGTTGGTCAAGTATGATTATCTTATAATGATTTAGCCATCCCGAAGATAGATTGTGGATGGTGTCACCTCGAGGATAGATTGTGGGTGGCCTAGTTGGTTGTCTGTATTATGGACCCTGGGTACTAGTGTGGTGGTAGTGGTGGTTGTTGTAATAACGATTTGAGGAAAGTTGGTTGACACCCAGCGGGTATAGGCTATGGTGGAATTTATGATTATCTAGCAGGTATAGGTTAGGTGGAAATTGTGGACACTTGGCGGGCATTTGTATGAGTAAGAATAGGTTTCATATTGGGAAATGCCTACTCAACTTTAATGATAGGCGTATCGATTGTTGTGAAAATAATTCAATGATCTATGGTAAATTGGGAAGTTTTTACAAGGATATGAATTAAGGATTTATCATGTCCGGAAATTATAAAAAGGAAAGTGTGGTTTTGCTAAGGGAATGGTTATGTGTTACGTGAAGTGCAAGTGCTCTCTCATGCAAGTTTAAGGTTGAAGTTATTTTCATTTATAAATTGTATTATCCACTCACTGGGCTTCATAGCTCATTGTTTTATGTTTTTCCTCAGGATTGCATACAGGATACGTAAGGCACATGTTACACGCTTTCGGTTGGCCACAGACGCATGTTCATCGACATGATGTTTGTATATAGTAGAACACTCGACTACACTGTTTTTATGTAAACTGATTTTTAATGTTTACACTTTCACAATTATATTTTAAGTTGTATTAAAGTCATTAAAGTTTTATGAATGGATTTTTATAAACTGTTTTCAAAAAATTCACGCTCCTTTTAGGATCTTAAGTCCCTCGGAGCGCCCGGGTTTGACGAGATAAGAAATACCCAGGAGGGGGTGTGACAATACGAATGTAAACGATTTCTACAAAGCAAATAGGCCAGACACCTATAACAATTGTAGAGATCCTACTGGAATCCTACGTGGAGTCCAAATGACGATCAACAACAAGGGTGCGCTTTAAGATTATATAGATAGATAGATGATACCCATTGTTAATAAAGAAGGAAAGAGTTTAAAAAAGAGGAGATAAAGAGTGAATTGATGGTTCTTAACCTATTGCAGTAACACTTGAAAATATTGTTTTATGGATGTAGGGGCAGATCTAGCCCCTTTGAGGGTAGGCCTCAAATTCTTTTAAAAAAAAAAAAAAAAAAAAAATTATTAATATATGAACCCACAAAAAAATGCTATTAATATATATACCCAGACCCATCCTCAGATTTTTAAAAAATAATAACTATTATACATATATTTAGACTCACAAAAAACTTGTTATTAATATATATATTCCAAATCTACATCATATTAAAAATTTGAAACTTTCTCCACTCTTTTTCTCTACGGCTCCACCTGTTTTTTTATGATTTTATCCTCAAAATTCCTTACTCTCTCATTCTCTTTCTCATGCTATTCGCTCTTAAAACTTTTGAAGATTGAAATTGTTGAAGCTTTCACTACTTAAAGTGTCACAATTAGTTTCTTATTCTATTTTATCAGTTTTAGGTATATGTATTACTTATTTCAATTTAGTTTATTTTAGGGTTGAATCATGCTTGTTTTTTTGGAGGTTTTTTATTCTAATTTGAGGGAAAAAGACATTGCATCTTGTGAGTTTATTTTATGTTTTGTGTCTAAGAATAAACCTATTTTTCCAATTTAAAATCGTAACTACATTTTAAAAGACATTATTATTCACCCTTCACCCACCACTTTCTTACATTTCAAACATCACCGTTTAGCTGTTTAAAATTATTAAAGAAATTTGAGTTATTATCTATATTTATACCAAAAAAATTCCTCATTTTTTTATTAATTCATATAAAAAGTCAATGCAACGTTAATATGATTTAGGTTTTGATTGACTTTAACTTATGTTAGGTTTGATCAAAATCATAAAAATTTATATTATAATTTTTGTAATTTAAAAAAAAAAAAAAAACAAAAAAAAAATAAAATTAAAAGAATGTTTTGCTCAAGCTTTACTCAACAAATTTACTCAAAATTGTGCTTCTCATAGATTTATTCAAACAGCAAAGTATTGTGTTATTGCATTTTTTTCTCTCAAGTTCTTGACATTGTATTATTTTTTTTGCTTAAGGTCTGATATTTTTTTAAAGGTTTCACAAATTGTTTGACAAATAATGGCGGAGGTCCCCCTAAGCAAAAAAATCTGGATCCGTCACTGTGTGGATGTATGATTGAATGTTAGTAATGATTGCATTTGTTATATCCATTAAAACAAAGTGTACTTAATAATATTTTGTACTATAATTATAAGAATATAACATATTAGTGACCAAATTAAAATAGGACTTAAGTACTCATATCACTTCTTCCTTATTTTTTCTTAGAAATGTAAATATTTCACAAACTTGAGGGTTTCCCAAGACAACAGATAGAAATAAGCCATCGGTGATTTCTGTCTCTCTTACACGTAGGCGAAATAGATGAAAAGATGGTGGGAATTCATCCACGTCTCACAACACTCCACATTGGGTTTTGATCATTTAGGAATAATTACATTTAACTTGATTAAGGAAAAACCAATAGGATAAAAACCTTAATAAAAAAAAAAGACAACTATTTCGTGAACTATAAATAGTGTTAGACATGCTTAAACGGCCTCGTCAACAACCTTGCCGGTAAAACAAAATGGGAAAGCTGGTGAAGGGAAAAAGAACATAGTTCACATGTGTCTGATAACAGTCTTCATTAAAAATGCGCCCCCACATAATAGCAAAAAACCATAGATCAATTTGATTGCTCACTAAGTCTTCGCATACCAATATCGTATGTTGATTTCTCAAACGTTGATGTTGGTAATGTTTTGGTAAATAGATTTGCAAAATTTTTGTTGGAATGTCTCTGCTTACTACCATTATCTTCTGATGTAAAAAATCCAAGTTTCTTGCAACCACAAAGCATATTCCATAAGTATAGTCATATATAATATCGTCTAATAAAACACGAGTTAGAGTAGTAATAGAACTTCGTCTAATAATGACATGTTGAAATTGTAAGAACATAAAATATGAGAACATACTTTTAAGGACTTGAAATATGTCTTCTTTCTTATTTCAGATATATGAGTTGAAATAGGGCCATTCCCACAAATATATAAAAAGTATATATACATAATATATATACAAGTGTTTATAATAACAATTTCTCGTTATTGAGATCCGGGATAATAAGAAAAACAACTCCATCTCTATTGGAATCATCCACGCTTTCCAACAACAATAACACGGAAAACAATTGGTGAATCCATGTTCTCTAATCTAACACAAAAAGAAAAATGGTCCCTCCCCCAAAAAAAAAAAAAAAAAAAAGAAAGGAATTGGAGAAAAAGAATGAAGATATAGATGCCTTTATGGAACATTTAACAAGGTAAGCATCATCAGAGGAAGGACTAATCACCACTCTTCAAACTCTACTTCATCTCTTGCATATCTTCCTCAGTTTTCCACACCACATCATCAAGGCATGTCGATAGGTTTTTGTAGAACTGCAGATGCATTAAACGACCATCGAAAAAATTACAATATCATGAGCAACTTTAATGATGCAATTAAACATAACTAAAGCAATGCATTTCAACATTTTGAACGTGGTACCACACGTAAGTTTAATCTGCCTCCTATTCAGCCTCTTAAGGTTTAAACTTCAATTCATTGTAGATTCGAATGTTTGTTCATTGAATCAAGATGAAGCAATTTAGATTGGATCTTCAATATGCAATTTGATGTTATCTTTTATTTTATGTTATGCATTCAATTCAATCCAAGTTATTTACTTTCTTTATGACAATCTCATCCAACTTTGGCCAATTAGTTTAATTACACTAATTAAAAGTACTTGTGATAGAAAACAAGGAGGATATTAGGGCTACAAAAAAAGGGGAAATATAAATAAATCCTAAAAAAGAAAAAAATGATACCTTATGAAACTCCAAAGTGTCCCCCTTGGCTTTTCGCACCTCAACCATATGAAGGGAAGGCGCTACTTGAAATATCTGCTTGACAATAAGAAACTTTAAACAAAATAAATTCTGAAGACATGTCAGAAATTACGTATAGGTTAGCCATCATTTACCTCAGTGGCCACGTTAAGGTTTCCTTTTCTCCCAGCTTTCATATTTTCAAGCCTCATCTATTTAAAATAAAAACCAGTTATATTTGTAAAGCTTCATAAATTACTGCCAACTCTATTTTTTAAAAATTTCCTCACCTTGTAATTTTTTTTGTGAACATCAAAACCAAGAGGCTTAGCTGCTTCTTCTATTTTATTGATTATCTCGTTAGCAGGAGATTTAGATGTGAACCTTGTTTCTCTCTTAAATCCCTGCAGCCAAACACTCAGTAATGATTAAATCTTAAATTTAGAAAACCCCACAATGAAAAAGCACTTCTATAAAATAAAAATATACCAATTATATGGTCCAATTGTGAAGGAAATATGTCATTGTCACAACCTATGCATATAAATCAATAGGCCTAAACCTATTCTTGATTGGGTTAAAATAATCAATAGTTGAAAAGGGAATTATCTATATAAAAAGCCGAAATTTTATTCACATCCCATGAGGCTAAGCTAAATACAGGTAAACACCACCAGATTCAATTATTGGAACTTGAATTAATAAAAAAAAAAAAAAAAAAAACATCAAATAAGAGAAGCTCTATAAAGTCTAAATATTTGTAGTTATACACCAATTATATGGTACACTTGCTAAGGATATATGCCATTGTAACAACTTACGCAAATAAAATCAATAAAGCCTACTATACCTCTTTTTGACTGGGTTAGAATAGTGGAAAAGAACATTATCCATATGAAAAAGCTTAAATTATGTGACAACTCATGAGAGTTAGCTTAAACAATGCAAGCACCACCAGTTACAAAATCCATCAGTATCTTTCCTTGAAATTCAGTAAATTGTTGTAAGGCCCCTGTAAAATTAGTGAGAAACCTTCAACTTTAAATATATTGTCAAAAGCCTCCCCTGCAATGACAGTCACCATTGAAATACTGAACCAATGGGATCCAGATGTATTTTAGTCAAATTTCAGGGGAGATCCAAGGAATTATGTCATACAAAAAAGACTAACTTCACTATATATATATATATATATATTAAAATTTAACATAATTATTGGAGCCAACATGTTCAAAATAGGCAATCTGACTCACATGAATATCAAAGCAGGTTAAGCCAAACTGAAGGAATAACGATAGTTTCAGATATAGAGGCAAATACACTTCTAAAAAATTTACTCTACAGAAAANTTCTTAATTATAACTATAATCTTACAGAAATCTTTAATGACCAAACACTTACTCTTAGGCATGACTATTATGTTACCGTTCGAGATTTAGCGAAATTTCAAGTTCATGCCCCTAGTTGTATTTATTTTAGATTCATACCCTTAAATTAACACTGTTAATTAATTTTGAATTTTGACTTGTGTTATTACCATCCTGCCCTTCACTTTGAATTTACACCCTTAAATTAACACAATTAATCTGGCTACAAAGTTGAGAGAAAATGCAAATGCCAAGGAGGTTGTTTTCCAGCGATGGGAGGGTACAACAGTGAAGAGGTTTGGTGTAGGGGTTACAAGGAAGAGGTTTGAGGTGATTTTAGGTGAAAAACCAGTTGGAACTAGGTTGAAAACGCTAGAGGCTGGGTGGTGGTGGTGGCTAGATGGTGATTGTAATACCTTGTATTTTATGGAATTTTATTAAATTTTATTTGGTGATTTTTCGGGTTAAAGTGTTAGATTTTGAAAGTTTTGAGGGGGTAAAGGTAACGGTTGAAACAAGTGGAGACCAAAAAAATTTGCCAGATATTTTGATGAAGATTAATTGTTCAAAGAAAAGAAAAACGGAGAAGAAGAAAGAAAGGAGAGGAAAAGAGAGAAGAAAAAGGAGAGAAAAAAAAGAGAAAAAAAGAGAGAAAGAAGAAGAAAAGAAAGAAGGGAGAGAAAGGTGAAATCCGGGTATAGAGAGAGAGAGATGGAGGTGGCTAGGAGAGTTGCCACCGGCGACCAAAACTCCGGTGATCAGAAAGAGTGGAGCAAGATCAAACATATGGGAGGTGAGTAAAGCTTAAAATTTCCCCCTTTTGATGAGTTTTAGTTTATTTGATTTGTCTTGGTTATAATTGAGTGTAATGACATAAGATTACACTAAAATGAGAAGATTGAGTTCAATAATTTTATGTGAGTAGAACATATATGTTGTTCTTAAACAAAAATGGGTAAAGATATGATTGTTGATATAAGAGTTTACTGTATAAAAATCTGACTATCTGGAATCCTGAAAATTGTTTACGTGTTTTGGATTGTTGTTTGAAGTTGAATTTCGGATTTCGGAGCATGTTGTAAACTTCTTGAGGAGTATTTAGAAATTTATTTCACTCAAAAAGTCAAAGTATTGAATTTTCTATGGATTTTTGAAGTTTGCCTTGCAATTCTAAAATTTCTATTTTCTGCAGAACATGCATTTTTGGAAAATGATTTGATGCATCTATCCTTATCCAAATTGAATGATTTTAAATTCTGGTGAATCCTATATGTGTCTAGTTTAATTTTGGAGGTTTTCATGAGATTTCAATTAAGGGTTAAATTGTTATGAATTTTACAAGTTAAGAATCAGTTCGCAGTTTTGAAAGGGTAGAAAGAAAATTATGTTTTAAATATTTGTTGATTCTGGAATGGCTTGAAACTTTTATGGGGACAACATATGTGTTTAGAATACCCCATTAAATTTATAGCTTGTTTGAGTGAGCAGAGTTTTATAAAAATCCTGGAGTGATCAGTGTTCAGTTATGAGACAGCTTTTGTTAAAGGATTTTAAGTTAATCTTTTGGTGTTTAACTGTCCAATGAATTTAATGTTGTTGTGTTACCATAGAGAGGCCTTTGTGTGATGAGGTTATTGGATTTTGGATGAAGGAAGGCAAGTGGAGGCACCGTTAGAGGATTTCGACCCCTTCTTCATATTAAGGTTTTTGGCTTCAAAAAGGTGAGTGGATTAGTAATTTTCATTAAAATTTATATTGGTCTTAAGTTGATTAATTATTTACCATGCATGTATATAATATATGTTGAGTTAAGTTGGTGAAGAGAAATCCAGTCAATTGGTGGGGTTGGTTTGTTTGATTAATAAATGTGAGTGTTTTTGTTTTGAATGAATTATAATGATAACGTTTGATTGGGGTTTTGGCTGGATGATGCATAAAATGGGGCTAGAATTATATATATTGTGGATTGCATTTCTGCTCAATTTATGCTTGAGAGGGGTGACTGGATTACATGTGTTTATGGGGTACATTGTTGGCCGAATTGAGCATGGAATATACGCTGCATCAATTGATAGATATTGTAATTGAGCTTTAAAGTTTATTTGGGATTTATTAAGAGTTGTTGGGCTAGCTTAGAAAGGGTTGTATAGATTTATAGCCCATTGATTAATAGTGTTGTTGGTGTGATAAAAATTGGAGTATGGGTGGCTTATAAAAAGAGATGGGCTCGACCTGAACATAAGAATTGTGAGTAATGGATAAACTGGGCTGAGTAATTGGGTCTTATTAATTGGTGGTGAGCTGGCTCACTATTAACAAGGCCCATCTTGTTATGGGTTTAGTATTGGTTTGTAATTGGTGGTAGGATTTTAGGGGGCATTTTTTCATTTTTGTGAACATTGAAGTACAATTAGGGGGTTAATCTTAAGGTTTGAAGCCTTTAAGACTATATTAAACTGAAGGACAACTATGGGTTGTAAATGGATATTTTACATGTTGTGATATTTCTAGAATGTGTTCGAGTGTTGTTCTCATATTTATATGCCTTGGCATATGGACGTGTATGAAGTGTGATGTGTTGAATATCCAAGTAAGTGTGTAAGGAAGTGTTTGGGTTGGAGAGCAAAAATATGTTAGTTGGATTTCAGACCACCTTTCCATAGTACCCGTCCCTCTTCAGGCATCAGCTAGCCTGTATGCTTTTTCGTAGCCTCCTGCGAGTGTTGAGATGGTTTGTACTACCGCATGGTGGTAACGTCCTATCGAGACAATACAAATGCCTTAGGAGCTTCAGGCGGGATATTATGGGATACCATATCATGACGCCCCAAGGAAAGACTGTGGGTCGAGTATGGTTATCTAGTGATGAGTATACCATCCTGAGGATAAATTGTGGATGATACCACCCTAAGGATAGACTGTGGGTGGGGTATTGATACATGATGTCCCAAGGATAAACTGTGGGTGAGATTCTTCTATATGATACCATATCACGACACCCCGAGAATAGATTGTGTGACATGACTCGTGTCGACGCTCCCTATCCCATAGGCTCTAGGTGCACCCATGATACTCGGGTGATCAAGACGTGCCATGTGGGAAAACTATGAATTCTGTTTATGAATTAAAGCATCATAAAACTCTAAAACAATTATAAACACTCCTTTTTGTTTCTCATAAATAAATATAACATTATTTGCAAATAAACAAATGCAACTGAATTTTTACAAAATGAACATATGTTATCAGATTTTTCCATATCTTTTACAATCCAAAACATGAAATAAATACATGATAAAGAAACATAAACTTTGTAGCGGAAAATAAAATAGAACTATGACACATATGAGGAAATGAAGTCGTGTGGCTCAACCTTGAGTGGGATTCACTCCTCTGCGTGATCTCTTTCTTGTCATGCTTATAAAATCTCATTTCCATAAACACATTTTATAATATAAGTCATCTTTCATAACCAATGCTAAAATCTCTCATTGCAAAACTTCTTTCTGAAAACTTTTATGATAAACAAATCAATACTCATGTTTCCCTAAAAATATCATTTCTAAAAACATTTTATATACAGATAACATTTGAATTTATAAATTTTCATTTCATATATATATACCAAACCATCTCTCAATCACATGTGAAAACTCTCACCCAATAGTATCCAAGGGTAAATTTGTCCAACTCGACAAGATCTAACATTGCGCCGGTGGAGCCACTAGATCCATCCTAGTAGTTATCAAGAAAATACACCCGTACTAGCCAAACTCATACTTTACATTTATAATTGCTTATATTGCACATAATAAATTTCAACTATTCTTGCCCAATTGTAAAATTTCTAGGACCATTTAATGGTCCCATCCAAACCTTTCCCCATGAAGTATTATGACGATGCCTAAAAATCACAATTTTGAGTGATACAATAGATCTCTCCTCCATTTCATCTCTAGGCACATTTCCCCTTCCTCATGTTTGGGGAACTATTAATTTTACCACAAGTCTTGTGTGAGGTTGACCACATTGACTCATGTTCATGCAATTAAACTTTCTTT